ATAGATAGATAGATAGATAGATAGATAGATAGATAGATAGATAGATAGATAGATAGCCAGATGGATAAAAGGACTGATGGATGGGTAGCTGGATGGATAAATAGGCAAATGAATCGTTGGAACAGTTGGATGGATAGCAAAATGGATGGATGGATAACAAAATTAATAATCAGATGGAAAAAATTGACTGATAGGCAGAAAGCTGGATGGGTAGATGGACAGTCAGATGGATAACCAAATGAATGGCTGGATAGATGGACAGTTGGATAGATAGCTGAATGGATGGATAAATGGAGTGACAAACAGATAGCTGGATGGGTAGATGGACAGTCAGATGGATAACCAAATGAATAGTTGGATAGATGGATGGACACATAGATGGACAGATGGATAAAAGGATTGATGAACAGATAGCTGGATAGATGGACAGTAGGTTGGATAGCAGAATGGATGGATAAATGGATTGACAAACAGATAGCTGGATGGGTAGATGGTACAGAAGGACGGAGGGAAGGAAAGACAGACGGATGGATGGATGGATAACCAGATGGATGGATACATGGGATAGAAGAATATCTGTATAGCCTGATGGATGGATGGATGGATGGATGGATGGATGGATGGATGGATGGATGGATGGAGGAGAGATGAAGGTATGGATGGGCATACGTTCATCTCTGGAGGGCCCTTCTCCTCCTTGTCCTCTTCTCCCAAAGTGTCTTCTTACCTTTCCTGTATCTTCAGGTCCCGGCTGCAACGTCACCGAACAGGGAAGGTTAGGAGGGATCTGGAAAGGGAAACGGACAGGGTTTTTTTGCAGGAACCAGATGCCCAGCATTGTTTGCATGTCATTTGAAGTGCCTGGGAATTTCCCGCATTGCCAAGTGCCCCTCTCTGGCTCTTCTAACCCTCTCCCAGTTTTGGTGCAAACTGCACTTTGAAAGGCTTTTAATGACTGTGTTTGTATTTTCAATAGTCTCTTAATAACTTTTTTAAATGGTTGTATAGTCAGCCTTCCACATTTGCTGAGGTTAGGAATGCAAATGGGAAAAAAGTGGATTAAAAAGCCTACAAATGTCTACAGGGTTGCTCGCACTAGAAATCTCTAAGTCAGCGTTTCTCAGCCTGGGGGGAGTTGCGAGGGGTGTCAGAGGGGTTGCTGAAAACCATCAGAAAACAGTATGTTCTGTTGGTCATGGGGGTTCTGTGTGGGAACTTTGGCCCAATTCTATCGTTGGTGGGGTTCAGAAGGCTCTTTGATTGCAGGTGAACTATAAATCCCAGCAACTGCAACTCCCAAATTTCAAGGTCTATTTTCCCCAAACTCCACCAGTGTTCACATCTGGGCATATTGAGTATTCATGCCAAGTTTGGTCAAGATCCATCATTGTTTGAGTCCACAGTGCTCTCTGGATATAGGTGAACTACAACTCTAAGTCTCAAGGTCAATGCCCACCAAACCCTTCCAGTATCTCCTGTTGATCATGGGAGTTCTGTGTGCCAAGTTTGGTTCAATTCCATTGTTGGCGGAGTTCAGAATGCTCTTTGATTGTAGGTGAACTATAAATCCCAACAATTGCAACTCCCAAATGTCAAGGTCTGTTTCCCCCAAACTCTACTAGTGTTCACATTTGGGCATATTGAGCATTCATGCCAAGTTTGGTCCAGATCCATCCTTGTTTGAGTCCACAGTGCTCTCTGGATATAGGTGAACTACAACTCCAAAACTCAAGGTCAATGCCCACCGAACCCTTCCAGTATTTTCCTTTGGTCATGGGAGTTCTGTGTGTCAAGTTTGGTTCAATTCCATCGTTGGTGGAGTTCAGAATGCTCTTTCATTGTAGGTGAACTATAAATCCCAGCAACTACAACTCCCAAATGTCAAGATCTATTTCCCCCAAACTCCACCAGTGTTCACATTTGGGCATATTGAGCATTCATGCTTTTTCCTCCAAGGAGTGTTGTGGCTTCAGCAAACCTCCAACTCCAGGAATCCTATAGTATTAAGCTATGGTAATTAAAGTGGTGTCAAACTGCATTAATTCTACAGTGTAGATGAACCCCATGCCTATGAAAGCTTAAGCAACCAACTTTGTTTTCCAAAGACTCCTCGACACTGTAGGATCGATGCAGTTTGACACCCTTTTCACTGCCCTGGCCCAATGCTATGGCATCTTGGGAGCTGTAGTTTTACAAGGTCTTTCTGCTGGTCATGGCGGTTCTGTGTGCCAAGTTTGGTTCAGATCTGTCATTAATGGGAGTTTTAATGGTCTGTGGAAGTCTGAGCTGAATCAGTTGAAGGTACTCCAAATCCCATCAGCTTGATTAGCATTCAATGGCCTTGCAGACAAGAGTCAATCAAGGCCAGCTAATACGTCTCAACAATGGATTCCCCCGGGCAGGAAGCAGCCAGGCTTTGAAGCTGCAAGGTTATTTGCTGCATCAGAAGCAGCCTTCCTGCATAAAGGTGCTGGTGCCTTACCAAACGACAACTCCCACAATGTTAAAGTGACGCATACCACAAACCACAACAGGGAATGAGCCAGTGCTGGAACCATGTCATCGTCCTCCTCCACCACCACATAGAAAGGCCTTGTCAAACTGTAATTTCCCAGGATCCCATAGCACTAGATCCATGGCAGTTCAAGTGTTGCATACTACAAACTAGAGCAGGGAATGTCCAACCAGTGTAAAAACTTGAGTACAGCTGGATGGACTAAATGAATGAGCCAGCACTGGAACCATGTCATCTTCCTCCTCCACCATTGAGAGAGGCTCATCAGGCTGTAGCTCCATAGCATTCAGCCATGGTAGTTAATGTCACATCAAACTGCATTAATCCTACAGGGTAGGTACGCCCTAAGACTCTTGGAGAAGACCTGGAGGACCACAGGCCTGACAGACAAAAAAGGGAATGCAATGGATGGACGAGAGTAGAGGCCGGGAGAGGGAGAAGGAATGGCTCCCCACCTCGAAGGTAAAGGGGTACGCCTGCTCTCCCAGCTTCTTAATCAGCCGTTCCTGGAGCCGCGTCAGAGGCTTCTTCTCTTCCGGGACTGGAGGGAAGGCCTGGACGTTGGCCACAAAGAGGTCCTTCCGGAAGGTCAGGCCCAGCACGTCCAGGTCCTCGCGGCCGTAGCGGAAGGCGCAGGTCAGCGTGACGAAAACTGTAAGGAAAAGACAGGAGGCGTTGCACTGGGAAAGGATTCCAGGGGAGCGTCTGTACAGGGGAATGAATGGAGATGGATGATAATAATAATAATAATAATAATAATAATAATAATAATAATAATAATAATAATAATAATGCTCTATTCTGCCCTTGTAAATCCTCCCAGAGTTGTAGTTTGGGTTGACTGCGGCTGCATCTGCACTCGAGAACAAATGCAGTTTGGCACCACTTTAACTGCTATGTACCAATAGTATGGAAATGGAGATCAAGCCCTATGAGAAGCGGCTTAAAGAGCTGCTGGGCATGTTTAGCCTGAAGAAGAAATGGCTGAGAGGAGACATGATAACCATGTATAAATATGTTACAACAACATCTGATATAGAACTCCAATATGCTGATGATAATGTCATCTGTGCACGTTCAGAAGAAGACATACAAGCCACTCTAAACACCTTCACAGAAGCATACGAGAAGCTCCACCTCTCATTGAACAAAAACCAAAGTGTTATTCCAGCAAAAGGCACCAGACAATCCCTCTCCAATGCCAGAAATACAACTTAATGGTGTAACATTAGGAAATGTGGACCATTTCCGCTCCCTTGGAAGCCCCTTCTCCACAAAAGTCAACATTGACACTGAAATTCAACACTGCCTGAGCTCTGCAAGTGCAAAATTTTTCCAAATGAAGCAGAGAGTGTTTGAGGACCGGGACGTCCGTAGGGAGACCAAGGGGCTTGTTTATAAAGCAATTGCCCTCCCTGTGAAACGTGGACTGTCTACAAACATCACATGCAAACGTGGACTGTCTACAAACATGCAACTCCTGGAATGATTCCATCAGCGCTGCCTCCGAAAAATCCTGCAAATCTCTTGAGAAGACAAGCGGACAAATGTCAGCGTGCTGGAAGAAGCAAAGACCACTAGTATTGAAGCGATGGACCTCCGCCATCAACTCCCCTGGACTGACCACATTGTCCGGATGCCCAACCACCGTCTCCCAAAGCAGTTGCTCTATTCCGAACTCAAGAACAGAAAACAGAATGTTGGAGGGCAGGAAAAGATATTCAAAGATGGGCTCAAAGCCAACCTTAAATACTCTGGCATAGACACTGAGAACTGGGAAGCCCTGGCCCTTGAGCGCTCCAGTTGGAGGTCAGCTGTGACCAGCAGTGCTGCAGAATTTGAAGAGGCACGAATGGAGGGCTAAAGGGAGAAACGTGCCAAGAGGAAGGCGTGTCAAGCCAACCCCAACCAGGACCGCCTTCCACCTGGAAACCAATGCCCTCACTGTGGGAGAAGATGCAAATCAAGAATAGGGCTCCACAGTCAACTATGGACCCACCCCCAGGATACTACACATGGAGGACCATTATCCTCAGACTACAAGGGATTGCCTAAGTAAGTAAGTAAGTAAGTAAGTAAGTAAGACCACACCTGGAATCACACTGTGTCCAATTCTGGGCACCACAATTGAAGGGAGATGCTGATAAGCTGGAACGTGTCCAGAGGAGGGTGACTCAAAGGATCAAGGGCTTGCAGAACAAGCTCTATGAGGAGCGGCTTAAAGAGCTGGGTCATGTTTAGCCTTTAGACGAGATGATGTTTAACATACTCTATCATGGGGTGGTTGCATTTAACCTGACTATTCATGTTTGTGGCTTACTTTCAACTTGTATTACTGAATCACAGCATTGGAAGGGACCCCCAGAGGTCATGTAGTCCAACCGCATGCAATGCAAGACTACCTAAATAGAGCACTCCCAAAAGATGGCATGGGGGCCTCTGCTTAAACATCTCCTGAAGAAGGAGAGCCCGTCCACTTCCAAAACTATTCCAAACTGCCTTTTTGAAGACATTCCTTCTAACGTTTAGGCAATAGAGATATTTAATTACCTTTACGTTCTTTTAGGTATTCTGGATCCACCAACACAACGCCATCTGCAATAGAAAGAAATAAAGTAAATTACTCCTGTGAATTCTCTCATATTGTTACGACAGGTTGAGTATCCTTCATCAGGAAATTTTGCTTCCAAAATGCTCCCAAATCCAAGCTAGTACACACACTTTGTTTCAGGCACAACCTTCTTAAAAAGAGGTTGTGTATCAATTTATATCCAGCGTATTAAGTTTATGTCAAACTAGCTGTACCTGCCACGTGTTGCTGTAGCCAACCTTCCCTCCCTCTTTCTCTCCTTCCTTCCCTTTTTTCTTTCCTTCTCTCCTTCCTTCCTTCCTTCCTTCCTTCCTTCCTTCCTTCCTTCC